CACACATGCATGTGCACACAGATACACACACACCTTAAGAACAGGCCCAGCTTCACTTCTGAGTGCCGCTGTTTCCCTTCCTGGGCTGGTCACAGTGACCCTGTGCCATGCAGAACCAACTCCTGCTCACCCTGACGCGCTTCCTACGGCGGCTGGGAGGGGGCGTGCTGGTGCGGGCCCGCTGTTACAGTGCTTGCCCTCTTGACTCACAGAAGGTCTTCTGTGCGGAGCCGCCGCCTTCGCCGGTGTCCTGTTACATGTTAGAAAGGAACTGTGTGCCAGGTGTGGTGGCACACACCTGTGATCCCAGCTTCTTGGGAGACTGAGGCAGGAGGATGGGAAGTTCCAGGCCAGCTTGGGCAGCTTAGTGGACCCTGTCTCAAAATAAAAAGCTTAAAGCACTGGGTTGCTCAGTGTGAAGGACGCAGGTACACTCCTAGCGCTACAAGAAGAAAAGAGAGTGTGTGTGTGTGCCGTGTGTGAATGGAAGAGCTGGTGGCACTGTGGGTGCTGGGCTGAAACACTGGGTGACGTGGTGCCAGATGGGCCACACAGCGCAGTCCTCTGCCCAGGCCCCCGTGATGTCTTTGGTGCGACCTCTCCAGGTCCCCAGCGCGGGGAGCCTGAGCTGCTCTGCAGGGACAGTTGTCCCGCCTGTGGCGGGGCTTGTTCCCCATGACTGGGCCTGGCGAGGACAGCAGGGAGGGCTTCCCAGAGGGCGCGGCGGCGGCACCGGGCCTGTAGCCTGCTGACAGGTGAGGCTGCAGGTGAGTGGCGGGCGTGGGAGGAGGAGGCCGACTGCAGGGCCTGCAGCGGCCGGGAGTCCTTGGGCTGCTGCCGCCATGGTGGGATGTGCCAACCTGGAGGACCCGGTGCACGGAGCTGTGCACACGTGCGTGCACACAGGTGTGCAAGGACACAGATGCACAGCTTGGAAGTAGGGGCTGAGGACAGTCCAGACCCTGGGATGTACTTCAACCTTAACTTTCGTGTTAGTTTTTCCTGTATTTTAGCTTTTTTTCCATTTCTTTTCACTACTGGGGATTGAATCCAGAGCCTTGCACTGAGCTACACCTCCCAGCCAGTTTTTTACTTTTTATTTTGAGACAAGGACTTGCTGTGTCACTAGATTGCTCAGGCTGGGTTCAAACTAGTGATCATCCTGCCTCAGCCTCCTAGAGTGTTGGAAATACAGGTGTGCACTGCCACACCTCAATTTATTTCAGCTCTCACAAATGCTGGTCCTGACCTGCCTTGCTGACTTGATGGCGCCCACAGTCGGGATAACTGCGCAGCGGGCTGAGCTTGCAGCCTGGTGTGTAGAGGCAGGCCACCCTCCGCACCGCACCAAGACCTGACGCAGTGACACCAACTACAGTCACATGCTGCCTGAGAGCCCTCAAGGACCTGCGCCACTTGGAACCAACCATAGCCTCTGCCCCCCACCCCCCGCCCAGCTGCGACCCTCCACTCTGCTTCCATGAGCTCCCTTTCCTAGGCTCTGCGTGCAAGGGCTCGGTGCTCTGGCCTTTGTCTATCCGGCTGCTGTCACGCAGCACAGCGTGCTCATCCGTGTTGTCACTGATGAGCAGATCTGCCTGTCTTCACCACGCGGTGTGGGCACCATGCTGTCCTTACCTAGTACCCAGCTGTCAGTGCGCACAGCTGTCAGCACACCTGGTGGCTGAGGGGTGTGACTTGCTGCGGTCCCAGAGATGCTGTGAGATGCTGACTTTATTCCACTGGCTGTGGATGGCCGGGATGGCTGGGTCTGTATTACAGTTTCCAAGGCCCCTTCCATGCTGCTTCCCACAGCAGTGGCCGGGGTCTCTGGTCCCCGCACAGGGAGCAGGTGGCGCCTCATAGGCTGCACTCATTCCACAGTGGCGCCGTCACAGCGGCACGCCACACACCTCAGATAAAGAGGGCTTGGACCTGTCAACAGAAAGCCGGTACCACCTGTCCGAAGGCAGTGGCTGCGCTGACGTTCGATGTGGTTCCTTCGTGGACCGTTAGTCTGTGTAGTAACCAAGTGTTTTTCCACGTTTTACAAATTCTTAAAAAGCTCCATGTTTGCGATCATGCTTTACGCTTTGCATTATTTCTCCCAGACAGTGTCCCTGACATTGGCGGCAGGACTTTGGTGAGTTGTACCTCTTCCACGGAAGACAGACTCTCCAGGGGTCCCTGTGCCCTGCCCCTCGGGGCCCCCCCGACTGTCCCCTGAGCAGCGCAGACACAGTGCTAACTGGTTCTTCTGAGAATCATAAAGTGGTGACATGCTCTCGAGCGCTGCCTGGGTGTGTGCCAGCACCGCATGAGTGGTCGCCCCCCTTCGCAGGAGGTGAATGTGCTGGAAATCACACTTAAAAAGTCACTGTGCCCTGCAGGAGTCCTGCCCACGGGTGGTGCCGGGGAATTTCTGAGTCTTTGGCATTTGGGGTTGCTTCCTCCTCTGTCAGCAGGCTGTGCTCAGAAAATGCAAACCTGGTCTAGGAAAAGGGCAGTTGGGTCAGAACTAGGCGTGCCATTGATCCCCAGGTGACAGGAGTGACTCGGGGGTAACCCGCCAAGCCCCCAACCTGGCTGCAGTGCCCAGTGAGCAGGGTGCTCCTGGCCAGTACTGCCCCCAACCCCTCTGCTGCCCCTGTGCCTGAGGTAGTGTCAGTGCTCTCTCCAGCCGTTAGGACGCAGCCCCTCCAGGGTGTCCCTCAGTGGCTTTCATGGCCTTGTCACAGGCACAGCTGACCAGGGAGCCACACGTGGGGAGTGCACACGGCCGCCACCCCGCGGGCTTCAGACAGAAGCAAGAGGGTCCTGGTAGTTGTAAATCATTTTCGTGAAAATTAACTTCGGTGGGAAAAGCTGTCCCTGTCTCTCTGACAGCGTGAACTTGGATGGATGTGTGGTTCTGTGCCCAGGGAGTGCTGAAGTTTGTCCCCACCTGTCTCTGGCTGGGACTTGGAACTGTGAGCGGGCCTGGGATCCTGAGGGCGGCCTGTGGCCTGGCTTCGTGGTGACTGTGTGGCACATGTTTTCGTGGTTTGAGCGGTTCCAGCGGGAGCCCTCTCAGCGGGAACCCAGGAGCCTCTTGCAGGTCCCCAAGGTGGCCGAGGGCTCCCCAGGGCACCGTCTGTGTGCTTCCTGTGTGGTCGAGGACCAGCCTCAGAGGGCTGCTGGCCGCTGTGTTCCGGGCTGTCAGCTCCCCGCTCAACTGCTGAGCCTGTCCGCTGAGTCTCAGCTTCCACAGTCCCGGCTCTGGCCGCACTCTGCTGCCTCTCACAGCCGGCTGGTTTTTTCATGGCACCCTGGTGTTTGACGCTCCATGGCGTCAGAGGCTGTGCTGCTGCTTCCACTTGCTCTCGCCTGTGATGGTTCCCTCGGGAGCTGAGCAAGTCCTAGGCAGGGCTTCCCTGCCTCCGAGGCCCGGCCTGCAGCGTTGACGGCGTCTCCACCTTCAGCGCTCTGCTGTGGGCGGGGCTTGTGGGTCGCCCCTGTCATCTCTCAGGGGATCCCTTTCCTTTTCCATTTGCAGAGCACATGTATACTAAGAGCACGTTCGTCGTGGGGGGCAGGAGCTTGTGCGGGGTCTGAGGAGGTGAACACCCTGGATACGTGCCGCTGTGGCCCAGGTGCAGGGCGCTGGCTGGGCCCAGGGCGGCTTGAAGCAGCAGCTGTCAGGACGGGAGAAGGCTGGCCTCTGGGCATGGCCCCTGGGGAGGGCAGGGTTTGCAGTGGGGGGGGAAGCGCGAGAGGGGGCACGTACTCTGCCTCACACTTCACGCCTTCCGTGCGCCTTGGCTCCCCGGGAGGTGGCGGTGCCTTGTGCTGTGGCTCCCTTCTCGTGGTCACCTGCCTCCTCTGGGGAGCATGGGGGCTCCTCTGGCCTCAGTTGTTTGCATTTGGAGCAGAGCAGTCTTAAGCCCCTGACGGCCTCTGTGGCTCGGGGTGGCCAGGCTGAAGGAGGTGGCCAGGTGGCAGCCTGGCTCTCCTTCTGGGCCGGGCTCTGCCCGCCTGTTCCCTGGACCAAGGAGAGGCCCTGAGTGCCAGTCTCCCTGCGAGGTGGCCTGGCTCAGGAGGCTGCTCCAGGCCAACCAGAGAGTGTGCTGTGGGAGCTGAGGGTGCGAGGGCAGTGTGGGCCATGCTGACGGGACACCAGGCACCGCCTCAGTCCCTTGGCCCACGCTGCCCTTCCAATTAGGACCAAGCCTGGGCCAGGCCTGCTCCTCCTGTGCCCTCCGCTCCTCTCCTCCTGGGGGCCCCTGGTGCCCTTTGCCCACGCCCCTAGCTTGCCCGCCTGCCTTGGCCTGGCTGTTCAGATTCCTGCCCCTCTGGGTCCTGGTCCAGGATCACTGTGCCTCCCTGACGACTGGCGGCCACTGTTCTGGGCACTCTTCCTGTGCCTAGATCCCACGCCGTCCTCAGACCAGCTCAGTATCCCGGCCACACCCGCCCACTCTGGAGGCCAGGTTTCCCACGGGGCTGCTGTCTCGTGAGCTTCAGGCTCTGCCCAGTGCCCACTGTGGAGGCCCGGAGCCCCCTCCCACCTCTGGGGGCAGCTAGGGTGCCACTTTCCCAGCAGCAGCTTGCGCTTTCTCCCTCTGAGGCACAGGTCCAGCCCTGGGGGCGGGGGGTGGGCGCTGAGTGGGGCAGTGCTGGCGTGGGCGCCCGTGCCGTGCAGAGGTCACCTGGAGGCCGATGGGCACTTCAGGACCCACAAGCTCACAGGGTCCCTGAGTCACAGAGCTCTTTCCAAGGCCGTGATGTCAGGCACACTGGGATTCTTTTCACATGAAAGTGACGGTGACTTCCTCCTTGCCGGCGGCCCGGCGGGCGGGGTTGGCTCAGGAACTGGGAGCCAGGCTCACTCAGCCTCTGGCTCCCTCAGACACCTGTGGGGATCCGTCCCAGCCACCGCGTCCCGTGGCCTCCATGGACCGTGCTGCTTCCTGGTTGTCATGAGGTCTAATTAACTCATGTCTCTCTCTCTTTTCTTTCAGTCTGCAACTGTGTCTGATGGGGGTAAGTCACAACTTCTAATGTATATTTTTATTATTTTTAATGAAATTTACAAGTGTTGGGACTGTCTTTGCCATCCGACACTTGCATGAAAGATGTGTGCTTGCCTCTGTCTGTCCCTGTGAGGGTGGGTCTCAGCGGGTGGGTTTGGGGTGCTTTGAGGTGGCCTCGGTGTGTGCCCCAGAAGCTTCTGAGCAGAGAAATGGCGACAGAAGGCCCAAGTGGCTGGGCACCAGGCACACTGCTGCATACTTGTGTGCAACAAGTTGAAACACGCTTGCCGTTCCCTTGTACAACCAGCTTTTAAACCGGCCAGTTAAGATTTCAAAGCTCTTGCTGAATTTGAGCAATTCTGGAAATGTGGGTGAGACACTCGCTGCTAGGTCTCCTTCTTTGGAAGAGTGGAGTGGGGGCGCTGAGCGTGTGGGGTGCAGAGGCCCCGGGACTTTCTGTCTTTACATGACTGTGCACGGGGATTCTTTTAATGGGACTGATTGAAAAAGGAAGTAGCCAGATGTGTCTTGTTCCACCTAATATTCCTCTGATGTAACCTGTCGTTTTAGTTCAGTGATTTTTCTTTAACATCCAAATACACCTTGCTTTCTGTAGTCCTTACGCTCCGGGGTTTGCTGCTTTGTCCCCACCTGTGTCTGCCTTCTGGGAGGGGGGTTGCTGATGTCTCTGACAGCATCTGCATTGTTTTCCTTCCTGTGCTGGGGCCAACGACAGCGAGAGCTGCTGGGGCCGGCCAGGCACGGGGTTGAGGCCGTCCTCTGTCACTGTGAGTTACAGAGGAGCTGAGTGTGGTCTTCTGGGAACTTCCTGTTGTCTCCAGCTGCCCACGACCTCAGTCCCTGGCCATACAAAGGGCTGCTGTCACCTGGCAGAGTGGCCGTGGGAAGTGCGAGGAGTGCGTGTTGAATTACACATGCGCTAATCCCGGAGGTTGGAGTCCGGCACGGGTCAGAGGCTGGTGGGTGAAAGGCGTTATGTTTCCTGTGTTATTGCAGGGACGGTCCTGTCATTTAATCGGCCCTAAGCTGGGAGCAGAGAAACTTCCTTAATGTGGGAAATCGGCAGCATTGCCCAGCCTGGGATGGAAGCCAGGGCAGCTGAGTTCTGCTCAGACTTCCTGGCCGCTGTGTTCCGACTTCTCCTTTCTGGTGGAAGGCATTCATTTTCCCAGGAAGTGTATACACCTAAGAGATTTCCCTAATCATGCATCATCTTATCTTCTTGTTCTTTTGCATTGCTGGGGGTCAGAACTAGGCAAGCCGTGTAACCCCTGAGCTACACCCTCGGCCCCCCTGGTCACACACGGTCTTTGTTCACCTCTGCAGAGTGCTCTGCTTTGTCAGGTTGCCTCCCAGCCCCTCCAGCTCCCCGTGCCCCTTCTGAGGAAGTGGTGCCTTGGCAGGGGTTCCTCTGCCTCTGGGGCTTTCCATTCCTCCCGCCTCCGCTGGGACCCCGGGGCTGCTGCGGAGTGGCTCTCTTCCTGGCCCAGGCCGGCCTCAGTAGGGAGTCAGGGAGGGTAGACGGAGCCATTCCACACGGCCGTGTAGGTTTTATTCAGTCACTTTTCACTTTTACTGTTTTTCCAGTTCGTTCTTTTCTGATTAGAAGAGTAAAAGGAAAATTCTCTGGGCTGGGTGTGGTAGTGCACTCCTGAAATCCCAGCACTTGGAGGCAGAAGGAGCAAAAGTTGAGTTCAGCCTGTGCCCTCTCTCGAAAAGTAGAATAGAATGAAATAAAAATTTTAAAAAGGGCTGGAGCTCTGTGTGAAAGCCCTGGGCTCAACCCCTAGTGCCACACACATGCGCACACGCAGTGGTTATCTGGCCTAATGTCCGTGTTGATTCTGGGGGGTCTGTATATTACCTGCCATTGTGCATGCAGGAGGGGATGCTGACCACGTGAGGTCACCCACCCTGGGCTTAGGCCTGGAGGAGCACAGCTCCTGCCCCGAAGCTCTGTGGGCACTGGCGCTGTCCGGGCCCCCGTGCGCCCAGGTGCTCTTTGAGGGGCTGGGTGGGAACTGGATGTTTCCACACCGTGGGGCTCTGTCGTCTTGTGGACAGCCACCCGAGGCCTCCACAGGCGGGAGCTTCAGCCTGGCCACCTCGGTGGGAAAGTGCACCTTGCAGGCCAGCAGGGCCTGACAGCTTGGGAGCAGCCCGTCCCCAGCCCCCACCCTGACCTCATGTCCTGTGCTCTCTGTGACGAGGGGTGCTCACTGTCTGCCCGAGCCCCTGAGGTGACTTGACTCCTTCGCTGTCACCACACCACTCAGCATGCTCCACTACACACCCTCCCCGCCCGCTCTGTGGCTTTTGGCCATCGCTGTCACCATGTCTGTTCCCCTGGGCCAGGGGCTGAGGGTGCAGGTTCTGGCTCCACGAGGGGAGAATGTCTGAGCTTTGAGAGACTTCCCCATGACTGGCTCCTGGGCGGTCACCGGCGGATGTAAGTTGTTGGGGAGCAGTACAAGTCTGCCAGGGCATAGCTCAGCGGTAGAGCGAGCGCTCTCCTGGTGTGCTCGAGGCCCTGTGTTTCTTCCTAGCCCTGCAGGATAAATAAAGAAGTAAATATGTGTATGTATGTGCAGGAAAGGGTGGCCTCCCCGCTGCCAAGCAGGAGGGCGCCTGCTGGTCCTGGGCGTGTTCAGGTGGCTGGCGGGTGGGGTCAGGTGCCTGCTGGAGCTCAGTTTCACAGGGTCCCCTCCCTCAACTCCCAAGCCCTTGGTCCTTGTTCTTGCAAGGTTTCCCACATCACTGGGCAAGTTTCAGGGTTACCTCCCACCTCAGGAGACTGGCAACAGGGACAAGCACAGAGAAAACCTGCCCCAGCGTCATCTGAGCATGCCAATGGACCTCCCAGCCCTCGGCCAGCTGGGGTTACCTGTCAGGCCAGGTGTGGGACCCCATCTTGTTTTCTGTTGAAAGACCCCACCCAGACAGCGGGACAGCCGATAGAAGTGTGAGCCCCAGCAGCCTACCAGTCACCACCGTGACAGGCGAAGCCCCTCTAAGGACAGCACTCCGAGCCGCCGCTCCTGCAGTGACTGACCCATGATGAGCCAGAGAAAGGTGTCTGGGGTGGTCGTGGCTCTCCCGGGACAGGAGGCATCTTCCAGAGTTGAGGAGTACAGACACCAGCAAGGAGCGCCACAGGCACAAGTCCCCTGTGATGGGCGGGTCTGCAAGTGGGCATGGCTTTGGGGCTCCGCAGCGTGCCCGAGAGACCCTTCTTCCTGCACTCTCCATGCTGGCCAGCCCTGTCTTCCGTGTCCCTCCAGGCCTGTGGCCCTGCAGCCTCCTGTTCCCATGTCTTCGGTTGGACATCTTGGCGCTGCCCCAACTCCACCCTGTGCCCCCGTGCCCTTCCGTGATCCTCCACGCAGACCCGGCCTCTGCCTGCTCCGTCCTTCATCTCCTCTGCTCCCCCAGGGCTGCAGCCCCCTCCACCTGCTCGGAGCCTGGCCTTGCCCCGACTCTGGCTGTCGGTGAGCTCCTCTCACCCAGTTCCAAGCTCACCACTGCCTGCAGCCAGGCCTTTCCACTGTTTACCTGTGTCCCTGCGGGTCAACCCCCCTGGGCCAGGCTGGTCCTGGTGACGTCAGGGCCAGGGCCAAATGCAGTGACTGCTCCAGCGCTCTCTATTCCTCAGGTGACTAGACCTGCTGTGTGGCCCCTGGCAGCGCCTCGGGTTAGGTCAGTGGCCTTTGGAGACGCTTTCCTTTTAGCTGTGAAATGTCGTCAGCAAACTAATCAGTCAGCCTTGGGAGAACCCGCTGATGGGAATCAGGTTTGGACACTGGCCTGCCCTTCCGGGCGTGTGAGGGGCTCAGGTTTCGGTTGTCCCCATCCTTGCTGGGTGGGCCACACAAAACCTGGCCACCATTTCTTCCTAAACGTCTCTGCTTGGCTTCACCCCCTTGGTCAGGTTCTCATAAGCGTGGCAGGAGACTGTCCTGTGGCCCTCCCCTCCCCGTGCCCCGTGGGCGGAGGACAGAGGAGCCCACAGCCCCTCCCAGGCTCCTGCTTATCTGCAAGTCGTGGGCAGCCGTGCTTGGCACTGTTCTGAAAGGAGACATTGGGTAGGACACAGAAGGGAAAACAGGCTCAGGGGGTCACAGTCCCGAGCCGCAGCCGTCTCCCCGCGCCTGCGGGGCACAGAGGTAAGCTGCCTGTGCTCAGCACGGCTCTGTTCCACATGTGGGGACAGACCTGGCTGTGAGGCCAGCTGGCCCTCTCTCCCAGGTTCCTGCTCCTTGAGGTCCCACTGGACACCTGGTGATGGGTAGGCTGCAGGCCAGGCCTGATTGAAAAGCCCCTTCCCACATCCAGACAAGGTCCTGCTGCCTCTGCCTCCGCCTCTGCCTGCCCTGAGCTGTACAGTCCCTGCTAACCCTGGGCTCTGGAAGGGGCTCTACTGTTTTGGGCCTAGGGTGCAGGCAGCCTCTCCCTGCATGTCTGTCCCTGGATGTGCGGCACACAGAGCCCAGGAAGTGCAGCACGACCTTTGGCTGTCCTTGGAGCCAGCGGACCTCCTGCCCACCCCATGCCCTGCTGGCCCCTGGGCTGGGTGAGATTTGGGTCCTGCTCCAGGCAGAATTGTTGGTGTCATTGTCCTACTCCAGGCCTGGGGAGCCCTCTCCAAGTGCCGGTTGGTGCAGTGGGCCCTGTCACAGGCCAGGGGGAGTTTGGACTTTTAGGGGGAATTAAACTGTGTTCGTCTTTAAAATATAGAACATTATAATCTGTGATATTTTCGGCAAGTGAATTTATGTTCTATAAAATTGGGAAGGACAAAGGCAAATGTAAAAGCTTGAGGACAGTGCTGTGGCATTGTTGGGTGAATTCAGACTTTTCTCAGAGAAACAGGCTGGCCTAACCGTGCACTTTCCTGAATGTTTGCTGAGCAGCACAAGGAGTGTGGATGTGCACCGGGCCGTGTGAGGGCCGTGGTTCGGTGGGTCCCGCTCTCTGTGGTTTGTGTTAGGA